ATTTCTGAGTATAACAGTGCCGCTTCAATGAGGTCAACTTCATATGATTTCTTTCCTAAGCCTTCCCTGACGTGTAGACCCAGAATATAAAATTATGCTCTCACAGTTTGACCACAACAGACAATTACAGTAATTTCTTCATCAATAGCACAACATTGATCTGGCTTCACGGCTCGAACATGACAGAAAGCATTGTCTGGATAATTCTAAACAGACCTTGGACATTTTTTTACCCAACAGAAATCATTACTACCATGTGGCCACTCATCAAAGTGTGCAGGCCAGGGCCGTTTCTCTGCATTTTCACAGCTCATTGGATTTCTGCTCAGAGTTTGGATCTTGCTTGTTCTGTTTCGCTGATTTTATGATTTACCAACTTTTTATGGATACTGTTTTGGATATAGTTGAAAAATAACGTCTGACCTACTTTCCAAAAAGCCTTGGTTGTCAAACTAAGAGGGTTTCATTGGTGGGAAGGTTGGTATTGGCCAGAGCTGGGGTTCTTTTCTCATTATACTAAAGATAGATATTTTGTACTGTTTTAGAGCTTTTATTTCATTTTGGTATAGAGTTATTATTCATTTATCTTGTGCTGTGTGCTCCTCCTTCCTGCTGCTCTGTAAATTGTGATGCAACACTGAAAATTCCACACTGCAGGACAAATATGGATCTCTTAATCTTAATCTAGTTTTCAAACCTCATCAAAATTGGAGATGTCATTAAATTCATCTTACTACAGTAGTTCTTTAGCCAAAAGGGTCAAAAAGTGACTGACAGGGTTCTTAGAAGTACGCAAAGAATAGCATGTTTTTACAAAGATTCAATTTTGAATGAAAAAAAAGTGAAATACCCCAGCTTTTCTGTTTTGGTCAGTAGATCGTAAGTCATTTCGATTTTTCGTTTTTTTCCAAAGATGACACGCCCTGAAGTTTTTGGCCCAGAAGTGATCTAATGTCATTGTACCATTTTTTTGCATCTTATGTAATTTTATGTGAACGTCTGACAGCGACAAGTAAATCAAACTAATACTGCTAACTAGCATTACAAAATAATGTTTTAAATGCTATTCTTTTCATTTCAAGACCGCCTTATCTAGTCAATTTTGGAAGTCCCCTGGAATTGATGCAGTTCAAAACTCCAATAGTTCATTCAAAGTTATCTTAAAAGTAACCTTCTAGATTGGATAAGGCCAAAATGCGATGAGGCCATGTCTGTGACCCATTTTTCTCTGCAAGTTTCTTTGTTTCACACAGAAAATCTCCAGCTCAAACCTCCCAACGTCGGTGTTTACATTCTGCACATGTCAAACTCAGACACATCACAGACATGTGAGATCAGCCAGGTTTTCAGAGCAGGGGACAGGAAGGGAATCATGAAGGTATGCGCTTGGTGCAATCTGCCTTTTCTTAGGTGCTCAAAACGTTTCCATCAGAGGCCTGTCGTCGAAATGGATCAATTAAAGAATAAGACACCATTAAAGCTGGGATACCAAACTGTTTCACTGATGACACATGTAGTTTAACACAACTGAACGAACTCACAGAGCAGTCAAATTGACGGCTTTTATTTTAAAAAATGTAATTACTGTATGTAAATTTTTCCCTTGTGAGATCAATAAAGTTCATCTTATCTTATCATATGAACCTTTTTGATCTTCATACATTTGTGAGTTCTATCTTTGAAGAGCGAGTGCTAGTTACTATAGCAACACACCATTTGCCGTAGCAGTTAGGATATAGCATTTTAGTTAGCATTTCATAATTGTGGGAGTTCTAGTGTTAAAGGAAAATGTTGTGACAAATCAGACCACAACATGCTCTCTTTGTTCATAACGCATTTCGCAGCTCAAGTTCACACAAAGCGCTTAACAAGGTTGGTGTCCCGGGCATTTCCATTCACACACGGTGACAACAGAAGAATAGTGAGTGAGGACCTCTTTTACACTTACATGCATGTGAAAATGAATTATGGTGTAAGGTGTTTTAAAGGAGAGGAAATAGTTATAGATTTTACAATAGTTCCATTTGGAGAATTTGGTAACGCATCTTGTTTTGCCTGCCAAGGGAATACAGTGAGTATTACTTTTTTAACAATGGTCTGAAACAGGATTAAATTATCTGTCAAGGAAACAACATACAGTAGCTTGATTTATAATCCCATGCCCCATTAGCCCAATTTTGAACCCACCATGTAGACTCAGGAATAGACAAATGTTATTACATTGCTTTAACATAATTCCATGTTTCTGCTGCAGCTGCTGAGAAGATTTCACGGTTTTGCACTAAGCATCACTCCATGTATCCTTAAATAAATTTACTATCCCTATGCGGACACGCCACTTAACGCTAGGTTAGGGCTGATATATGGAAGGGGGGAAAGCCTTTGCATGCTAGAAAGGAACATTTTCATCTGTCAATGTTTGAGTTTTTGCATGTGTGAATTTGGATGCCCTGTTATCTCAAACGGTTAGGCAGCGGTTAGGCTTTCCGCTGTATTTGCAAAGAGCTTCGTCCAAACCAATATGGGAAGAATAGCCCTAAAAGGAGAGAGCTTGGAAAACATTTGGCACTGGAGGATAGTCTCTTGTATCTGAGGCTCAGACCACAGTAAAGGAGAGGAGTCAGAGGTTGCCAGATTTCCCCGGCACTTTCCAGCTCTTCAGAAAAGCCTAAGAATCTTTTTAATAAGTGTGTGGGAAGGAGATGACATTCAGTTATCCTCGTGCATGTCCCTCCATGTCATTGGCTATTGAGATGAATCGTTCTTGTTATACCAAAGATGACGTAACATAGCTTCTGTCTTATCTGAACCTCTTAGGCGCCAGAGTTTTTAATTTTCAGAAATGTTATGTGAGACCAGAAAAAAGTGGTGCCTAAAACTTTATAAATATAGTTAACAAGCAAAGTATCAAATGAGAGAGCAGAATGAGGCTCTATTTTGGAGTGCCAGTTTAAGGTTAAATATAGATGGAATAAAGATTGGCTCTATCTTTTTTAAATCACAAATAATTGTAGCACCAATTCACTGAGTTTGTACCGTTTCTAGCTGAAAATTGTTTGCATCAGTGATCAGTGCTTAGGAACTACATGTGTCACATACTGTACAGGAAGATTCTGGCAACAAAAGTTGGATTGGGGGAGGCAGCATTTCAGATCTATGCAGCTAGGATAAGGAACGTCTTACATAAATTGTTAGACAAATGTTTCAGTTTCAGTTTCAGTTTAGTTTATTTCAAAGGGGACAATGCAATTTAATAAAACACATGATAAAACATGAGTTAAAAAAGCCAGAATTAGCCAAGGAGGCTATTTTTCATCTGTAGTCCCCTGGCCGTGATGTTAAAGAGCCATGTTCATGGGTTGATGGAACAAAATAAGTCACCAAAACTTTTAGAGAGGCAATGAACCCCTATGTTTAGTGAAACACATATATACAGCTTTTAGGTCATATGCAAATGTTTATAAATGTTTTCCATTACCTTCTTGTTGGCTGCTAGGAAAGAGAAACTAATTGACGGATTTATACATGTGGCCTAAAGAAATGACCTTATTGCATCTGGTAAAAATGACCAAATGAACCATGAGCCTGTTTATTTCTTCCACAGACTTGGAATTAATCACTAAGATCATATTTTTAGTGCTGGGCCATCTGAGTCTTTGCTTGATTATATTTATTCAACCACAAGGTACAACTGATACTGCCCCATATGGCAAATTACACTGCGGCAAAAATAATCCGTCCACACAACTGTTTACAAAGCGATGCTAGTTTCTTAAAGGAACGCGATTTTCCGTCTCATGAAGCAGAGAAAACATTATAGTCACTCGAAGGCCAGTGGAAAGGTCAGTCTGACTCACAGTGTACAGGCCTCATTTATGAAGACACAAAATGAATGGACTTATAAAGCTGTCATCTTCCCTCAAGACCAAAACTGGGCCAAGAAGAATAAACCAAATACAGACGATATGTTTCTGCCCAAATGAACTCATCTAATGAACCACAAACTACAAGAAATGGAGAGGGAATAGAACCCAAATCACAGTGACAACCATGCAATACAATGTGATCTGCTTATGTGAGTGTGATCATTTGATTTGAACATAGACATTCACCATAGAAGATTCATGATAGCCGTCCCGATTGGCTCAAATATGTGAATGTGTTGCTTGGAACAGTGCAATGTTCATTTTTCTCCCAAAATACCACATAAGTACAGTATATGCAGAGGCTAATTCAAAGCCATGTCGATCATTTTGCATTGATTTTATACCATGTCCAGTTTCAGCAGCCATATAGGGAGTTCTCTTTCTGGATTCATGCAAAGTAAAAAGGATCTGCACATGTAATGATAGGGCCACAAGTATACAATATATGTTATGGATTCACTTAAATTACTTAGCACTTACTTACTCTATATTTTGATATTTTTAAAACATGTTCTTCTATGAAAATTCTGCTTATCAGGAATACTTAAGATGGCTGACAAAAATGCCAAAGCCACAGATTTGTTAAACCCCAATGGGTGCATGTGAGCAGTAGTACTTTCTGTCCTCATAGTTGTATAGTATGAAAATTGTTTTAATACTTGTTTTACATTATTAGAATTCATGTTTTTGAATTATCACTATCTCTGTTTTGACATCATTGTTTGGAGTTAAATAGGAAATTCATGTGGATTCCAATGTAACGGATGATCCATAGTAGAAATGTTAACAGTAGTCGAGGCACAATCTGATATCACCAAAGAAATAATAGTCCTGGATAATTCATCCTGGACTCAAAAACTTCAGCAAAACCCTAGATCTAACCCAACCCACAGTGAATCCTAGCTCCAACTCTAACCCTAACCCAATAAAACATCGATCCTGCGCAAACAACGTTGACATTGATCCTGGACTGTTTATTTACACAATGATATGAGATCTTCTGTGGTAAAGATAGAAGCAATAGAGGAGTGGGTAATAAGAGGTGTTGGTAATGACAGAAGTTGAACCTTTTACCTGCAGATGCTGAGTGTGAGCTGTTTGCTGCAGTTTTTGATCCGGTTCTGAGCGTCCATGTGCGTCATAGTCTCGGTGCTGTCCCCATTAATGGCCAAAATGGTGTCCCCAGCACACAGGTCTCCCAGCGCCGCTTTACTGCCCGCTGTCACCTAAGGATATCATTCACACAAACACACACACAGACACACACACACACACAGAAGGAGACAAGAACAGAAGAAAGGACCACATTACAAACAGTGTCAAAATGTCAGTGAGAAAAATGGGCCGACATAAAGGAGAGGAAAGGCGCCGGGGTCAAAAGCGTTGCAACAAAAGCAGGTTCTTTTGATAGTGAAAAATAGCCTGAGGTGGGACGATAAGTTTACCTTTGCAACAGCTGCAACAATAGAGTCAGGAGGACGGAGGCGACTGTGCATAGAGGCCAATGACAGGTGGAGATTAGGAACGGATATTTGACTGGTTTTATTCAACTGCCTATTTGACCTTACAACAAACTGAAAAACTGAGTAGTGATGAATACATTTGGTTTATTCTGAATGGAGAGTTGAAAGCACTATTTCATCAAGTATTTTTACTAGAAAGAATGGGTGACAAAGCAACTCATCTGGCCATTTTTATTCATGAGATAATTCATTCCATATTTTTGCTTTTAAAGTCAGTCGGAAACATTCATTGCCTTTGAGCGCCCTGTGTTTATTTGGAGCATGTCCAAACTGTTATAAAATAAGTGCATTGTCATACACTCATTTCTGTAAGGTAACAGCAATGTAATTATTCTCAAGGATTTGCCTATCCTAAGCAAAAGAGCCTTGGTTGATTAATGAATGTAATGATTAAATGTCAAGTTCAAATTGCAACGTTTCTCTGACACAAACCAAAAGATACCAGACCCACTTAGATGCATTTACTACTAAAATTGTTAGGGATGAAAGATAAACTTTATTGAGCTCACAATGGAGAAATGTATAATAGTGATATTGTACCAAGGCCTATAACAAGTGGTTAGTCCCAAGTCAATGTCCAAGAAGTCAAGTCCAAGTCCATTGCTTTGATTTGATTTTCAAGTCTTCATAGCTGTTATTATGTATTTTCAAATGCAGATTTTTTTGATAAGTCCTCGTTTTCAATAGTGAGTTTTCAAAACAGGCAAAACATACATAAGTGTTGCACCTGTGTTGCACCTGCTTCAACACGTTGTAGTGGCTGTAGCAGTAGATGTTGTAGTTGTTGAAGTAATAAAGTAATAGCTGCAATAGTGGAATTAAAATAGTAGTAGACATCAGTTGTGTAGCAGAAGTTTTTTTTAGCCCTTCTGAACTAATACAATTGAATCCTTTTTGCAGGTGTGTGGATAGGGGAAGTCTGGGGCATGGGCGACCCGGCAACGGATAAAGCAGAAGAAAATGGATGGTTGGATGGATCCTGTTTGCCATAAGTTAGCTGATTTGATGGAGGGGGGGGGGATTTTCTTTTTTCAGTCCCTTAACTGGTATTGACTGAATGATATTGGGTCTGCAGATTTTTAAACCCAATGAAAACCCCATTTCAAGATTATCAGCAATATGAAAAAGCTGGATCGGTTCATGGTTCTACCCTGGAACTCTTTAGGATCTAAATTCTAATGCACTAAAACGCATGGTACATATATATGGCTGTTTAAAAAGGGCACTCATCTAAACACTCCTGAATCATGAGGTAAGGGCATTTTGTTCTAAATGTACGATCATTGAGAGACATGCCCTTAGGAAAGTCGTTAAATGGTCAAATAAATCAAAGCCTAAGTGGGTCTCCCCCAATAACCACCATGATCCACGTCAACCTCGAATCCACCTTTGTGTAAAATTTTTCTTAAACATATGCTGTCTCGTGTATCCCAGTCTCTCCTTAGTCCTAGAGCTTGTAAAACATGCACTTAAAGGATTTTCTGTCAGCGTTTTGACCCAGAGCAGTCGCTATTCAGATAATGCTCTATGGACTTTTAAGACCGGTGGGTTACTTTCACCTTCAAAAACTATTACCGAACATGTGATAACAATTTCCTCCATTACCTACGTTTCCAGGCACGGATATCAAGTCATACAGAGATATCATAATATAAAAGCAAGTCGGGCAAGATGCAAAAGTCATACACATATGGTCACAAGATGGTGAGATTTGGGGAAAATATTTAAAGTTGGTTGGATTGGTTTTATTGGAGTCTGTTCGATCCATGACCAGTTCATTCATGTTAGTTTAGGAAGAGTTTTATGCTCACACAAATGACAAGATTTCCACAGCTGTGAGCCATTGTTTTTGGAAGGAACATGCATTTGTTTCACTGTCATGATAATACAACTTGAATGGGTTTCCCGCTAACTTTGACGTTTGATAGCCAAAATTGGGCTGGAGTTAAGATTTCCTTCTCAGCATGCATTTCAGCCGTTATTACAGTTGTATTCAGTTGGTTTGGCTCACGACCAAAAGATGGTATCTCTCCCAAAACTGCTCACACATACTTCAAACATGATTACTTTATATTACGGTATAAAACGTCAGGGCCATTAAGATAACAAAGATCTTTCTCAATTGCTTTTGTAAAACCTGATGGTCCAGCACATTATGGGTCAACTGCAAAAGTTCTTTCCCAAAACAATTTCGACACATGTCAAAACTAAACTTATCTCTCCTATAAATAGTCAGTTCCTTCAAAATATATTGTTTCTTTGGCCTTGTGTCAGCACAGCAGGTCAAAATGTTTAGATGTTTCTTCACAATGGCAGAGAACAGAATGTAATTATGTATAAAAATGAAAAAAGAGTTTGCAGTAGTTTGACTTCAACACACACCATACTCAAACCATTGTAATTCATTTTCAGCCGTATGCGGTGCCACTTGCATGTGAAAGCCGAATATATCAGACATCTGAAGCTAAGCAAGGCTGGGCCTGGTCAGTACTGTGATGGAAGAAATGTTAATGCCACATGGAGAGTCTTTGAGTGTCCAGAAAAGCGCTATATAAAACCTAATATTATTCACAAACATTAGGTAAGGTCCATACTTAGATGATAGATATATAGAGAGATGATAGATAATTATTTAAAACAACATTTTAATGCAGGGCCCCACTGTTTGACACGGAAAATATCACTTGTCCTTTTTTCTTTTCAAACTTTCCATGGACAAACTGTATTTACAGTAATATGTCAACCTCTGACAGACTGACCTTGCGGTCGTCTGTAATGCTTATCCATCTGACAAGCGCCTTTTATAACCTTCAGTTTGAGATGTTAAAAGCTCTTTGCCTAAGTATGACATGTCAAACTGTCAATATTATAATAATATTTTTACTTTTTTTACTTTTGTTATACACCTGAGAAGTCGTTTTCACAATCAGATGACGACTAACGTTAAAGCTATTGCTGTTTTGTTTACTTACTTAACCTTTCAGGGATTCATGTACGCTATTTTTCTTCAACAACACACTACACCACTGTTACTTGTGTTTTTTGGTGTTACTGTATTTTGAATGTACTGAATGTGTCTGAATGTGTTTCCTGTTTTTCTTTGATATACACAAAACTATAATAACTTAATTCTTTTTATTCCGCACTGTTTCGAATGAATGGTTACAGATATACTTTAAATAAAAACATTAAAAAGGTAGAGTTATTTTGTTAAATGTTATACATTTAAACATTCAAATCTAGTAGATAATAATGCTACATAGGATTGTGGTAAAATAGACGCAGTATTATCATTTTACCAGAAAATGTTGTTTAAATTGTAAATATTAAAAATTATTAAAATTACTTTATAATTCAGTTGTTGTGGTTTATATTCTATTCCTGGTTCTATTCCTGACGTCTGCTTGGTTTGGTTCTATTCTAGGCCAGAAGTTTGCATCTGATACCCAATTTTTATCATTCAAAAGAGCAATCATACATTTGACTAAGTGCAGATTCTTATCACTAAATGAATACATTATATTATTCATGTAGCAGACCAGGAGTGGACTGGTTCAGGCTCCGCAGGCCACTAAACTCAGACTGTGGTTCAAATCAGGAATCTTAATTTAGCGCCTGTGACCACAGCGTCTCAAACCCTGAGAATCCCAAAGGTGAACATCATTACCATACGCATGTTTAAAAGGTTATGGTTCCACACTTTTATGATATTCCCCAGAGTCGAGAACATATGGTTTTCACAGTTTGGTTTGGTCAAAACAAAACCATTAGTTAAGAGGTAGAGTCACCACTGTGGTAGATTGAACCTGTTTTGCGATTGTTGGAATGCTTTTCTGTCACCTCTGATTGAACGTGCATGTTGCCTATCACGGTAATAACCATATTAACTTAGTGTTAGAGACATGATCTTTTTTAACTTTTTTATTATGGTAAGAAATGAAATGTAGAAGGTTCAGTAAAGGCAAACAGCTGGTCACAATATCTGGACAGAACATTGAGGTGGTCCAGTCCTATAAATACCTGTGAGTCCATCTGGACCACAAACCAGACTGGTCAGTACAGGCAATGGCAGTGAGCAGGAAAGGTCAGGGCAGACTGTTCTTCTTTTGAGGCGAGCAGTTTGATTACTTTTCACATCTTTTATCAGTCTGTAGTCACGACTTACGAGTGCTGTTTTGGGGGTGGTTTGTTGGGGGAGCAGTATAAAAATGGAGAGACCGAAAGCACGGGACAGGCTGATCAGGAAATAAGTTTCTGTGATGTGGAGATGTTAGGGGACTCTGTGGGATCTGTGCTGGAGGATGAGGGCTCTCATGCAGGGTATCCTGCATAACTCCACACATCCTGCCTGTTGCTATGGAGTAACCGTACCAATACAGGCTTCTCTCACTGCGCTGCCAAACGGAACATTTTAAAGACTTGTCTAAAGTAAACATGTGCACTTTATTACTGGTGTCAATAACTTTACTGTTGTTAGTTCTGTGCTGATTTTATATTATCGTATGATCCTTATTATTTGCTGTCAATATGACTTAGGCTTTTCCCTCAAGTCTGATACATTGCGTTTCAATTGGCCCATTCGAGAATAGAGTATTATGTGATCGAGAGCTGTTTTCCTCAGTATGAGAATGCATTCCTTCCATTCAAAACCTAATTGGGAACTCTTATTATGTGAAAAATTCCTCTGGGGCTTACACAATTCC